TCGCCTTACCCGAGCTCAAAAATTGGAAATGGTTGTAAATGGGTCGAAACCCCATTTCCAGAACTTAAGTTCTGTTTTTCAGATTTGTATTCATCGCGATTGCGGAAATTCGTTCGCGATCGCGTAGAACAAAATTTGCCCAGGTTTGTTTAACACTACGCGATTGCGTATAAGGCCATGCGATAGCAGAGAACAATTTCTCAGCCTTACGCGACCGCATAGCACAATTTCGGTGCTTCAGCTTCTGCCTCATTCCTTCTTCGCGATCGCAGCTTTGAGCTCGTGTTCGCAGTGCACTGGGAGCTAGCCTTTCGTGTTTGCGTGCCTATCTTCGCGAACGCGAATAGTAAAACTCATGGCTTAAAATTTTCTCTTCGCGATCGCAGGAATGGCTTCACGATCGCGAAACACAATAGACCATATGACAGCAGAAGCTCAAAAACCAGTTTTTCTAAGTTCAAAATCATCCCGTAGCCTATACGAAACTCACCCGAGCCCTCGGGGCTCCAAACCAAACATGCACCCAAGTCCTAAAATATCATACAAACTTTCTCGCATGATCAAATTACCAAAATAACACCTAGAACTACGAATCGGACATCAAATCAAAGGAAGTTTTCATGAAAACTTTAAAATTTATATTTTCACAACCGGACGTCCGTATCACGTCAAATCAACTCCGATTCTCACCAAATTTGGTAGACAAATCATAAATATTATAGTATACCTATACCGGGCTCCGGAACCAAAATACAGACCCGAGGTCAATAAATCCAACATCAGTAATTTCTTAAAAATCATTAAGCTTTCAAGCTTTTAATTTTTTCATCAAAATTCATATCTCGGGCTAGGGACCTCGGAATTCGATTCTGGGCATACGCCCAAGTCCTAAATCACTATACGGACCTAATGGAATTGTCAAAACATTGATCCAGGTCCGTTTGCTCAAAATGTCGACCAAATCCAACTCAGTTGAGTTTTAAAGCTCTATTTTACATTTTAATCCATGTTTCACATAAACACTTTTCGGAAAATTATACGGACTACGCACGCAAGTTGAGGAATGATAAATGATACTTTTAGAGGTCTTAGAACACAAAATTACTTATTAAATTTAAATATGACATTTTGGGTCATCACAACTTGTGTTTGAGCTTAAATGATAGTGAATTGCACTTATTATATATTTTATGCCTTGCAGGATGTGATTTTGTAACGACCCGACATGTCGTTTTAAGAATTAATGCCCCATTCAGTGACTTAAGGTCTTGAGCAGCTTCGCAATATGTATTATGACCCGCGGGTGTAGTTGAGTTTGATTTACTGAAGATTCAGAATTAAAATAAAAGAACAATTCTTATTTAGAAGCTTAAATGGAAAGAGTTGACCGGAGAGTTGACTTTTAAGCAAACGACTCTGGAACAGAATTTTGATGATGTCAATAGCTTTGTATGGTGATTATGGACTTAGGAACGTGTCCGGAAAATTATTTGGAGGTCTGTAGAGGAATTTGGCTTGAAATGGCGAAAGAAGAATTTTTGAGAAGTTTGACCGGGGGGTGACCTTTTGATATCGGGGTCGGAATCTGATTTCGGAAATTTGAATAGCCTCGTTATGTCATTTATGACTTGTGTGCAAAATTTGAAGTCATTCCGGATTGATTTGATAGGTCCCGACGTCGTTTATGGAAACTTGAAATTTCAAAGTTCATTAAACTTGAATTGGGGTATGATTCGTGGCTTTAACGTTGTTTGATATTATTCGAGGTTTTGACTAAGTCCGTAATATATTTTGAGACTTGTTGGTATGTTCGGACGGGGTCCCGAGTGGCTTGGGTGAGTTTCGAGGTGGTTTCGGACAATTTCTAGGCCATATATAGCTGCTGTTTTTTGGCTACAGCAGTGTGCTATGCGATAGCGTGGAATTATCTTGTTGTGTACCAAAAGTTATGGTTGATATACTACAGGCTGTCCAGGAAGAGTTTGGAAATTGCGAAGAAGAAATTTGTGTTGCATAGGGCTGATTTTGGAAGCTTATATATCCATATCTATAAGGAATTGGGAGATGACCAAAACATGAAAATTGTAGCTCTTGGTGTCTAGCTTTCAGAAAGTTAAACTATTCATTATTTGGAGTTATGTACAAAATATTATGACCATTATACTAGAGGCTGTCCGGAAGAAGTAGGACAAGGTTGTTGGGGAATTTGTTCTTTGCGATCGCGGGAGAATGGCCGCGATCGCATAGAGTAAAAAAGGGCTGGAAAAACTTTGTTTTGCCGCAATCGTGGATGTTTTTCCGCGATCGCATAGAGTAAAAAAGGGCTGGAAAAACTTTGTTTTGCCGCAATCGTGGATGTTTTTCCGCGATCGCATAGAGGAAATGACTGGGCAACAGATTTAAGTTCTGATCTTTGACGATTTGGAGCTCGGGGAGAGGCGATTTTAGGGAGATTTTCTAGGGAAACATCGGGGTAAGAGTTCTTAACTCAATTTTTGTTAAGTTACCCGAATATATTTTTGTTTTTATCATTAAATTAGTGTTTTGGGTTGAAAATGGTAGAAATTTTATAGACACTAAATTGAAGATTTGGAGGTCGATTCATTATCAGAATTTGATAAAATTGGTATGGTTGAACTCGTATCGGAATGGGTGTTCGGATTTCGTAAAAAATTCGTCGGGTTCCAAGAGGCGAGCGTCGCGTTGACTTTTTAGAATAAATTTTCAAGTCGACGTTTTATTATCCAGAATTGTTTCCGATGAATTTTAATGAAGTTATACAATTAATTTGGATAGATTTGAGCTGTCCGGAGGTCAATTCAAGCAAGAAGGCTATTTTGGAATATCGGCCTAATTTCAAAAAGAAAAAATGTCTTGCCTGACCTTGAGTGGGGGAATTACCCCTTAGGCATCGAGTCTTATGTGCCATTTGTGAAATGTAAAAAGCCGTGTAAGCGAGGTGACAAGTACGTACTCGGGGTTATATGTACAAATTTTATTGAGTTAAAGTCTTGGGCATATTGTGTAATAAATTGGATAATTGTTGGCATTTATTTAATCATCCGTTTTCCATGCTTCAATTCACATTTATTGAATTTGTTTTTATATGATGATTTGATGTGAATGTTACCCGTATATTTATGTGAATTCCATGAGTTTGATATTCTTGGAAATTAATTTCATTATGGATTTTCCCTCTCCAAATAATTAATTAAATGAACTTAAGAAGAGGTGTTTACGTAATTATTGAGAATTGTGCTGGGCATATCACTGGTTGATTTATGTTGCCCTTATTGTTATTTGTTTTCTATTATTTTGTATATCATATTGCACAGGTTATTAGACTAGTGAGTATCTTGATTGTACCTCGTCTCTACTCCACTAAGGTTAGTCTTGATACTTACTGGGTACCGACCGTGCTGTACTCATACTACACTTCTGTACATTTTTGTGCAGAGTAAGGTATTGGAGCTACCAGACTCGGACAGAGTTAAAGTGTGATCACAAGGATTCAAGGTAGAGCTACTTGGTCGTCGCAGTCCCTTAGAGTCTTTTCATTTCATTGTACTGTTAATTTTTAATCAAACAATATTGTATATTCGGTCCTCGTGATCATTCCATGTATACAGTTAGAGTTCGTGACTCAGTACTACCAGTCTTGGGAAGGTTGCTATATTTGTAATTATTTCCTTTGTTAGTTTCTATTTTTTTTTAAATATGGCTTCAAAAATGTAATTGAAATCGGCTTACCTAGTGTTAGAGACTTGGTGCCATCATGACGCATGTGGCGAGATTTTGGGTCGTGATAGATTCCGAGTTAAAACGATAATCGGGAGCTTAATCAAACAAGTTGGAGCTTTGAATTCTGAGTAAAAGCCCAAGGGATTAAACTGGGATCGCATTCGGGGGTCGAGGACCAAGTCTGTATATCAAAAATCGAAGAGGCAGTTTTACTCTATAAAACATGCACAACCCCCCTGCATGGGGCGGCGTGGTAGTGCTTTGTGTTGATGTCTATCAGATACTGCTCTCTGAACTTCCCCACTAGCGCCCCACGTGGGGCACCGCATGGCGCGGGGCGCCTGTACAATTTTCTCAGAGTATTTACCTGTTTCTGTTTGGAAATGGTAGATTCATCCGGGCCTACTCCTATATGGTATAAATACACCAAAAAGATATTTTTGAAAGGACTTTTGACCTTTGAAGCTTTGGGGGAGCATTGGAGGCTACAAGACTCTTGATTTCAACATCTTTCCATCAATTCAATACGGAAGTTTGGATTGTAACGTTAGATTGATGCTTTCTCACTCTTTAATTATATTTGTGATGACTTCCTCCATAATTATGGAGTAGTTACCGTAGGGTTTGACATGATTTGGTGACTGGGTTGTTGTTTATAGATTTCACTACTGCTTAATTTCTTGAATTTATTGGAGGAGCTTTAATATAGTTGTGATTTTATTCTTTAGAGTGTTTAATCGAAAGAGGCCCATCTTATTAAATATTATTGCAGCGTATGCCTCAGTTTAGTTTGGTGATTCTTTGAAATAATCGAGAGAGAATTTTGAGTTATCGTTTACATTAAGATTGAAAAATATTCGCGAGAAGTTTCTCTTAGATCATTCCTACCAATAGATTCTTGCAAGTTTTAACACACATCATGTTAGTTTATTTGAAATATTTAGATTGAATCGAGAGAGGATTCTTAATCGGAATTATAATCTAGTCACCTATTGAATTCGTGAGAATCGATAGAACATCAAGAATGAAATATAACAATATCATATCCAGAATAACAATCTTGCACCTATCATGTCAAAACCTTTATTTTTCACATTGGTAAGAAACCGACTCTGCTAATCTCTAGTTCTTTGCCATAAATTGTCAATTGCTTTACTTTAGTAGTTAATTGTAGTTCGTAATCATTCCAATCATGTTTTGATCAACCTGAATAGCAGTTAAACCAGGAATTTCTAGAGCATTATTTAAATCCAGTCCCTATGGAGATAATAATCGTACTATTTTCTTTGGCTAGCAAGGTGCTTTTGCAGATGCAAGCTTATGCTAAATTCTTGACAGAGAAATTATCCAAAAAGCGAAAAGTGATGGAGACATCGGTTGTCAAGTTCACAGAGCATTGTAGTTCCATTCTGCAAAACAAGCTCCCTCAAAAGTGTGGAGATCAAGGGAGTTTCACTATACCTTACTCTTTAGGAAGTACTAAATTTGAAAAATCAATGTGTGATTCAGATGCTTCCATTAACCTTATTCATTTTTCTATTTCAAGAAATTGGAGGGAGAGATTGGAGAAATCAGTGGTAGTTCTCATCGTGTCTGTGCTTAAAGAAATTGGGATCTTGAGGTTATTATGTTGTAAAGGTTGGGGTTTGGTTCAACACAAGTGTGGGGTTTAATGTGTTAATATATATGTATTAAAGTGCTTAGGGAGATGTATTCACTATATCTAAATGTATCCTACCCGTCCCCCATCCTATATTACAATCAATTAAAGTCCTACTTGATCCTTGACTAAATGAGCACATATTAGTAGAGTAATATAGTACGGGCAAGCCTATGGTACGTTTTCTGTAGCGTATGAATTCTATTTCTGAGAGTGAGTTAATTCTTTATAGCTTGAGTTCCTATTTGTCCTTGAATTTTATAGCGTGGGGAATTACTCTCTATCTTGGGTGTGAGGGCACATGATTTGCTAAGGAAAGGTAATGTCTTTGGCCTCTGCGTTAGAGTAAGTGAGCAGGTTTTTGAAAAATATGTGGCGCGTGAGAGTCGAGTCTTGAGGGTAGGATGTTATTATAGAGTGCTTGGTTTGCTTTAAATATTCTTGGCATGATGCATTTGGGAAGTTGTCTGATAAGAAGGTCATCTCTACGTGAAGTGTAGTTCAATTGTTCGAGGACGAGCAATGTTTAAAGTGTGGGGTCTTGATGGTAGGTTAGAAACTCGTATTTTAGTCATAGTTTGCACTCTAATTGCTGTATTTTACTTGTATTTGAGCTAAAATGATAGTTAATTATACTTATTATGTATTTTATGCCTTGCAGAAAGTGATTACGAGTTAAACAAACAATCAGGAGCTTAATCGAACAAGTTGGAGCTTTGAAGTTTGAGTAAAAGCCCAAAGGATTAAACTAGAATCGCGTTCGGGGGTCGAGGACCAAGTCTGGATATCAAAAATCGAAGATACAATTTTACTCTTTATAAAATGCACAACCGCACAGCATGGGGCAGCGCGACAGTGGTTTGTGCTATTGTCTATCAGAAACTGCTCTCTAAACATCCCCATTAGCGCCCCGCGTGGGGCGGCGCATGCCGCGGTGCGCCTGTATAATTTTCTCAAAGTATTTTCCTGTTTCTGCTTGAAAAGGGTAGTTTCGTCCGGGCCTACTTCTATATGGTATAAATACACCAAAACGATGTATTTGAAGGGACTTTTGACCTTGGAAGCTTTGGGAGAGCATTGGAGACTACAAGACAGGTGATTTCATCATCTTTCTATCAATTCAATACGGGAGTTTGGATTGTAACGTTAGATTGATGCTTTCTTACTCTTTAATTATATTTGTGATGACTTCCTCCATAATTATGGAGTAGTTTACCTTAGGGTTTGACATGATTTGGTGACTGGGTTGTTGTTTATGGATTTTACTAATGCTTAATTGCTTGAATTTATTGGAGGAGCTTTAATATAGTTGTGATTTTATTCATTATAATGTTTAATCGAAAGAGGAACATCTTATTGAATATTATTACAGCGTATGCCTCCATTTATTTTGGTGATTCTTTGAAGTAATCGAGAGAGCTTTTTGAGTTATCATTTAAATTAAGATTGAGAAATATTCGCGAGAAGTTTCTCTTAGATCATTCCTACCAATAGATTCTTGCAAGTTTCACCATACTTCACGTTAGTTTATTTGAAAGATTTAGATTTAATCGAAAGAGGAGTCTGAATCGGAAGTATAAGCTAATCACCTATTGAATTCATGAGAATCGATAGAACCTCAAGAGTGAAGCATAACAATATCATATCCATAACAAGAATCTTGCACCTATTATGTCAAAACCTTTATTTCTCACATTGATAAGAAACCAATTCTGCTAATCTCTAATTCTTTGCCATAAATTGTCAATTGCTTTACTTTAGTAGTTAATTGTAGTTCGTAATCATTCCAATCAAGTTTTGATCATCCTAAATAGCAGTTAAACCATGAATTTCTAGAGCATTATTTAAATCCAGTCCCTATGGAGACGATAGTCATACTATACTATCTTTAGATAGTGAGGTGCTTTCACATATGCCAGCTTATGATAAATTCTTGAAGGAGATATTGTCCAAAAAGAGAAAAGTGAAAGAGACATCGGTTGTCAAGCTCATAGAGCATCGTAGTGCCATTCTGCAATACAAGCTCCCTCAAAAGTGTGGAGATCCAATGAATTTTACTACACCTTTCTCTTAGGAAATACTAAATTTGAAAAATCTTTGTGTGATTCAGGTGCTTCCCTTAACCTTATGCCTTTGTCTATTTTCAGGAAATTGGAAGTAGAGATTCGATACCTGTGTCCTTGCAGCTGGTGGATCAGACCACAATCATACCTGGAGGAATAATGGAAGATGTGCTAGTTCGGGAGATAAATTTGTGTTCCCTGTGGACTTCATTGTGGTGAACATGAAAGAGAATAGGGAGATCCCTCTGATACTAGGGAGACCCTTCTTGGCTACCAGCAGAGCGATTTGCGACATTCAAGAAAAACAACTCATTCTCAGAGTGGGGGAAGTAAGGGTGGTCTTCAAGATGGAAGGAGCAATAGGGGCCCTAAAGGAGCGAACTAGAGAGAGTAAGCATGATAAGTGTGGGTGTACCCAAAGAAGGCAGAAAAGAAGCTCTTAGCATGGATGTGTGCACTGGGTCGGGCGTGCAAAGGAGATCCCGATTTCGATTCAGACCCTGACTAAATGAATATGGAGAGGTTTCTTTACCTCTTTCTTTTCATTTGTATGTCATGGGAACATGCCACAATTAAAACTGTGGGGTGGAGGATGTAAATATGTACATGTATGTTTGTTTTTTTTGTGTTTTGTTTGAATTTGTTTTTGATTTTTCCCGACGATGCATTTCCTTGACTGTCTTCTTGAGGGATCAAAGTCGAAGAATTTTTTTTTTGTTTTTTCTTAGGTAGTGTAACAACTCTCCCTTGATTTTTCTTTATACCGCGGTTCTTTTCCAGGGGTTGTGCTGGAATCGAGTGTAGTTAGTTTTTCTTTTGGTAGGAATATGGAAGTCTTGTGCTCTTGTGGTAAATGGAGATAACTTTTCTTGACTTTGTTGTACCTAGAGAGTAATAAGTGCCTTAATCGTGACGCCTAGGCTCAGTTCTTGACTCTTGGATAAGTGCCTGAAATTATTTGAGTTTGATGTTACTTAACTTCATTGACTAGAGAGTCGAGATAGATCCGGTCTTAAGTGAGTTATGTGCCAATGTGTGTGTTAGGTATTTGTTATTATTCTGTGCATGTCAGTTGATGTCTAGAACTTGCCCTGTGTGTTTGCAAAGTGAAATAGTAGGCTTGTTCAGTCTAGAAAGTAAAATAGATATTTCTTTGTTGAGCCAATTATATGTTTATGACCTTCCTAATTATTGTGTATCCTAGTTAGCCCCTTTGAGCATGTAATCCTACTTCTTTGGCAACCACACTACAAGCTTGATCCATGTTATTTGAATTGACTATCTGTTTGAACCTACTACCTCTCGTGAGCACTTGAAACTATTATGAGCTTGTTACGAGCTGAGTGGAGGTATGGCAGGCTTTTGAGTGAAACTAAGAATAATGGAGAAAGGTGCACTATTTGAAAATTTGTGAGAGCCACATGTAAGGAATTGAAATAAAAAGAGAAAGACTAAAATAATTTTGAACGTTGAAAAGAAAAAGGGTTTGTGTATGTAGTAAAAGGGAAAAAAAGAGTAACTGATTCCTTGCTAGTGGTAGTTTTCATCGTGCATGTGCTTAAAGAAATTGGGAGCTTGAGGTTATTATGTTGTGAGGGTTGGGGTTTGGTTTAACACAAGCGTGAGGTTTAATGTGTTAATGCATAATGTATTAAAGTGTTTAGAGATGTGCAGTCACTATATATACATGATACCTACCCGTCCCGCAGTCTACATTACAACCAATTAAAGTCCTACTTTATCCTTGACTGAATGAGCTCAAATTAGTAGAGTACTACACTACTGGCAAGCCTATGGTACGTTTTCTGCAGCGCATGAATTCTATTTTTGAGAGTGAGTTAATTCTTTCTATCTTGAATTCCTATTTGTTCTTGAATTTTATGGTGTGGGGAATTACTCTCTATATTTGGTGTGAGGGCACATGATTTGCGAAGAAAAGGTAATGTTTTTGGCCTCTGCGTTAGAGTAAGTGAGCAGGTACACATGATTTCATCATCTTTCCATCAATTCAATACGGGAGTTTGGATTGAAATGTTAGATTGATGCTTTCTCACTCTTTAATTATATTTGTGATGACTTCCTCTATAATTATGGAGTAGTTTACCTTAGGGTTTGACATGATTTGATGACTGGGTTGTTGTTTATGGATTTCACTATTGCTTAATTGCTTGAATTTATTGGAGGAGCTAGCTTTAATATAGTTGTGATTTTATTCTTTATAGTCTATAATCGAAATAGCAACATATTATTGAATATTATTACAGCGTATGCCTCAGATTATTTTGGTAATTCTTTGAAGTAATCGAGAGAGCTTTTTGAGTTACCATTTAAATTAAGATTGAGAAATATTTACTAGAAGTTTCTCTTAGATCATTCCTACCAATAGATTCTTGCAAGTTTCACCACACTTCACGTCAGTTTATTTGAAAGATTTAGATTTAATTGAGAGAGGAGTCTGAATCGGAAGTATAAGCTAGTCACTTATTATATTTGTGAGAATCGATAGAACCTCAAGAGTGAAATATAACTATATCATATCCAAAATAACTCTTGCATCTATCATGTCAAAACCCTTATTTCTCACATTGATATGAAACCAACTCTGCTAATCTCTAGTTCTTTTCCGTCAATTGTCAATTGCTTCACTTTAGTAGTTAGTAGTATTTCATAATCATTCCAATCAAGTTTTGATCATCCTGAATAGCAGTTAACCCAAGAATTTCTAGAGCATTGTTTAAATTCAATCCCTATGGAGATGATAATCATTCTATACTATCATTGGCTAGCGAGCATTAACTTTGTGTTGTGTTTTGCGCTCGTCAAATACGTGCGTTTGACCTTCTTATAAGCTTGTCCAAACACACTTTAAATAATAGTAATTGGGATAAGATATGGTTCTATTTTTACATAAATTTGATACTTTCACTTTCTAAAATGTTATGGTTCTTAATATCCTGCTAGTAATACTAAATTAACCTATTTGAGTGAAATTGTAATATTATTTTTAGACGTGAAGGATCTGCAACCTTATACATATGTATGTATTTACACATATGGTGCCATTTCCAGTGTGGGAACCAATATAGAAAATATCTATTCATATCACTACAAGAAAAGAACAATATTTTTGAGGGAGAATTTGTCATAATTTCGTCACTAGCCGAGCGTCGCAAAAGTTTTGTGACAGAAGAATAGACCGTCATAAGTTTGTCACAAATTGAGGAATTTCGTCACAAAACTGTCAAATTCTTCACCATTTTGTGATGAATATTAATTAACTCGTTCATTTGAAATATTTTCATGTTGTATTTCAAAATATATGATATTTAATAAACTCTGAAGTTTTTCTTTCTCATTACTCTATCCAATAGTTGAACTAATTTTGTGCCAATTTATATTAAAAAGATAGTAAAAAGTATTAATATTAAAGAAAAAATTAATCAGATCCTCCCAATTTGTGCCTTGAATGTTATTAGCACAAAGATGAAGATTTGAATTGTTGTCGAAAGAGCCTGACGTAACCCGACTCCTTATCACGATTCAAATTTCACTATGTGGGTGATGACTTCTAAGCCCAATATGCTAGGCCAACCAACAAACATAAAAGACAACCCAAACTGGAATTCATCAAATAAATAATGAAATAAGAATGCAAAATTAATACAAACTACCCCAAGAACTGGTATCACAAGTCATGAACAACCAAGAAATGGAAATCAATGCCGGTATGAAGAAAATACATTATGTATTTGAATATACATAAACAGAAAAACAAGTTCTAAACTAGCATGAATAAAATGGCAGAAAACTGGAACGTTGATGTCTTCAATGCTCGCACTCGAACCCTGCAACAACTTAGCTCTAGAATAGTTAGGCAAGGTGTAGAAGTATAGTATGAGTACAACCGACCTCATGTACTCAGTATGTATCAAAACTAACCTCAAAAGAATAGTGGCGAAGTTTAGTAAAAAAATACTCACTTTATATAACATTTGCATTTTATAAGCATATACAATAACATAAAGATAACCAAGAAATAACGGATTTCAATAATAAGGTGCACCATCGAAAAACTAAATAATAAACATGCTTTTCGGATAACAAGGTCACAGAACATGCAAATGTATCAATTCCGCATATAAAGGAGATATGGAACAAGTAGTAAAGACTCAAACTTTACATCAATCTGACACCGTCCAAGTGTCCAATAATTAACCAGCTATCAAGTCTCATGTGTGTATAAATTGCATGAATACACATATGTATATGATATGTATGAATGTTTTGGTATGAGTCTAGAAGGTCAATGGATGATAAAGACTCAAAACTTACATCAACCGACACCCTCCAAGTGTCCAACAACATTGATGTTATATACTTCAATGCCACATAAGAGGGGGGTGATTTATGTGGTGTTCAATTTTTGCGTGCACTGATTATAGAAGGACTCCTTATACTACTGTTGCGAAAGTAGTAAATGCAGAAAGTAAAGAACACAAGTATTTTTTTACGTGGAAAACACTCAGATCAAAAGGTCAAAAAATCACGACCTAGTACTCAGTAGGATTTTGCCTAACACTTCACTAAATCACTAAGCCAAAAACAACATTTATAAAACTCTTTGTAAACCTAAGGATTACCTCTAATCCCGTTGTGGAAACCAACCTCTAACTATTGCGACAACTTCAAGTTAACTCTAACTTGAATACTCAAAGTACCTAATATAATTGACTCTAGATAAAGCTGAAAGGTACAATTTAAAAAAGCATACTACAATGAAACTAGAATAAAATACAGACACTTGGAACTGGTTCTTCTATCAGGTTCATGTAGCTTCAGGTTCGCACACTTGAATCACATAAGAGTTGCTTGACAAATGCCTTACTATTTTGCTCTAAACTCACGTTTAACTTCAGCGGTTGTGCGTACCTATAAAATGAGAACACCCCGCAATTTATAGTGTCGCGACCCAATTTCTCCTATAGGCTGTGATGGCGCCCAACGTTGCCACTAGGTAAGCCAACGGTGAACTAACTATGTGATTACTCTTTTTAATAGGTTTCCAAGAAATTAAATTCTATTTATTAAGAGATTCAAGAAGTAGAAAGTTAAATAAATAAAACGAAAGCAACTGAGTGCAATCATAGATATATATATATACTCCAAAACCATAAAGTTTACTAGAATGTGTGTCAAGACCAGGTATCATAATTGTATGA